TGTGTAACCTATCCTAATTAGTGCTTTCCTTTAACTCACAGGCAGCTGGATGGATTTGGTTAAACAGAAGTTCATAAGAGGGTACATTCAGCTTAGCAGACAAAACTTGTGTTGTGACTGGCCCTTAAATTAGAGGCAAAACAACATGCAATAAAAAGATCAGTGAAATTCTATCTCCTCCCAGACTGTACAAGGGAAGGAAGTTATAGATTTTGCACAATGAAACCTAACAGGATAAGAAAGCACATGTTACACAGATACATAGGATTTAAAGTGAACCCGTCATGCTAGAAATAGGTATAGAAAGTCTAAAAAGAGCTCCAGACCAATCAGTTGAGAGTCCAAAACCTTTAGGGCCAGTTCACACCACAAAAACGTACTCCAGATCCATTTTAGATGCATTTCTGCATGGCCTTTTTTAATGCTTTTTTGATGCATTCTAGTACGTTTTTTTAAAGGTTTTTGATGCATTTCCAGATGCATTCAAGATGCTTTTTCTCCTCCCTTTTTGGGTCATTTGCAAAATATTTATTTCCATTAAGACAATCCTTTTCCTGTGTTTCCTTTTCCTGTTTTTCCACAGTACTGGGGTCCAGTGCTTTTTTGATGCATTTTTGATGTTTTTTACTGCATCTCCTAGATTGTAAGCTATAACAAGCAGGGCCCTCTGTTTCCTCTTGAACCAAATTGTATTGTAACTTGAATGTCTACCTTCATTTTGTAAAGCGCTGTGCAAACTGTTGGCGCTATATAAATCCTGTATAATAATAATTATAATAATAATAATTCCAGTACAGTTCTGTGCAGGAAAAAAAGCAGCATGTTTTTTCTGAAACAGAAAAAAGCACTGGAAACGCACTGCAGTGGTGTGAACTATGCCATTGGAACCCATATAACCTATTTTCCATGCTTTTTTGATGCAGAAAAAAAGTGGTGCATGTGGTACGAACAGGCCCTGAATATTGGTGTTTGTTTGGTAAGGTACAAAATAATAAAAATAGAAAACAAAACCCATGCTATAAGTACATTGTAATAACATCTCTAAATAAATAAATAAATCAGTAAAATAAGTCAAATTAAAGTGGAGTTCCATTTGAAATTAAAAAAATAAATAAAAGTCAGCAGCTAAAAAAAGCTGTAGCTGCTGACTTTTAAAATACAGACACGCAACTGTCCTTCGGTCCAGCGATGTACTCACCACGGCTGGTTTCACCGGGCGTCTTCTCTCCCCGGTGCCGGCATCTTCAGTGTGGGCACCCGGGTGTGACAGCTTGAGACTTCACAGCTAGGTGCCCACTGCGCATGCACTTTGTGAATGGCCCCGTAGTCTTCTGGGACCTGTCACATGTCCCAGAAGTCTACGGGGAGGGTGGGGGGAGGACAACTTCCGCTTCTGACCTAGGCAATCGCAGCAGAAGTGGGAGCGGGTACCTGTCAAATTCAGGTACCCGTCCCCAAAGGTGCCAATCCTTAATGGGGAGTGGGGGACAAAGGCTTAAAGCGGAACTTCCCCTTTTGGGTGGACTCCACTGTGTTAATGAATCTATATCAAATACTGGTGAAGCGCTTCCAATATGACATAACAAATCAAATATCATAATCACATAATAGTAATAATAACATAAAATAATCCTCTTACCATAACCCTTTATCATAAACAGATCCCCTAGTACTCAGTATCATTTTGTGAATGTGCAAAAAATACATAAATTGCTCTTGAAGCATAAAAAACACAACAAATGTAGTCCAGTGTAAGAGTCCCATGCACCAACAAATCTTCATGCTATCCTCAATCGATGTATCAGTGGGATTGCAGACCACACCCCACCAACCACCACATTCCCCAAATACAACCAATTAAAGAAAAACAATTAAACCAAACATGGCGAGAAATGGCTGCAGCACTTTATTGGCGTTAAACAATAATTCCATATACATATATCAATATCCATTAATGTGGTTCAACATGCGAAATATAACAGATCACCTTTTGGCTCAATTATTAGAACTCGAGCCATCTTATACACCATATAACACTGAAATGTCCCCCCGACTCCAGGGTGACAGCGACAGCACCACACAAAGTGCACGCAACAGGAGGGGGGGAGCTCTTTTGCTTGCAGACTGGCCACTGATCCCAAACGATCCAGGTGCCCCTTATATATTATCCCACTGATGCTCCAAAATTTTCCATGACTCCCGATTGGATCCTTCTGAATCTCTGCTTTGCATATTTTAAAGGAACCATCACCTAAAATTCCCCATACATGCCAAATATACCACTCAATGCTTAACCATACCCCAGTCTGAGAGGGGGTGGCCACATTCCCATGAAAGTGGTCCCAAAGGTTTAGCCATTCTTGTCAAAACAGCAATATGACTTCCTTCAGTGTGAATAAACACCACTGTGCCCTTCACCACCACACCTCATGGGTATCTCCTCACCTTGTATCATGAACCCCACTGCAAAAGGAGATTCACTTGCTCTTTTCTTTATACTTGGGACCACGATCCTCTTCAGCAATCACCTGCTCATTACGAATCTCACAGGAATAGATGTATTAAAAGGAAGCAAAGAAACATCCAATAGTGCAGACCACTAGTTTATTTCCATAAGAAAGCTAAAATTCCACTCTATTAACAATAAACTTAAAAAGTTCATAGAGGCACGTAACAGGCTATTAGCATACTCGACTTTCCAAAATGGCATCTAAGCTTCGCTCAGTGTAATGAGGTCACTGCCTGCCTTAGTGTTACATCCCAGTCAGCTTTTTCAAAGGCTCAGGCTAGTCAACAGCACCACGCTCTTATATACAGTGCATCCAGAAAGTATTCACAGCGCTTCACTTTTGACACATTTTGTTATGTTACAACCTTATTCCAAGATGGATTAAATTCATTTTTTTTTCCTCAACATTCTACAAACAATACCCCATAATGACAATGTGAAAGAAGTTCATTTTGAAATCTTAAAAATAAAAAAGGAAAGAAAACACATGTACATAAGTATTCACAGCCTTTGCTAAATACTTTGTTGAAGCACCTTTAGCACCAATTACAGCCTCAAGTCGTTTTGAGTATGATGCTACAAGCTTGGCACACCTATTTTTGGACAGATTCTCCCATTCTTCTTTGCAGTACCTCTCAAGCGCAATCAGATTGGATGGGGAGCATCGGTGCACAGCCATTTTCAGATCTCTAGTCTGGGCTCTGGCTGAGCCACTCCAGGATATTCACAGAGTTGGCCCGTAGCCACTCTTTTGTTATGTGGGCTGTGTGCTTAGGGTCGTTGTCCTGTTGAAAGATGAGCCGTCACCCCAGTCTAAGGTCCAGAGCGCTCTGGAACAGGTTTTCACAAAGAATGTCTCTGTACATTGCTGCATTCATCTTTCCTTCAATCCTGACTAGTCTCCCAGTTCCTGCCACTGAAAAACATCCCCATAGCATGATGCTGCCACCACCATGCTTCACTGTAGGGATGGTATTGGCCAGGTGGTGAGCGGTGCCTGGTTTCCTCCAGACATGACACTTGGCATTCAGGCCAAAGAGTTCAATCTTTGTTTTATCACACCAGAGAGTTTTGTTTCTCATGGTCTGACAATCCCTCAGGTGCCTTTTGGTAAACTCCAGGTGAGCTGCCATTTGCCTTTTACTGAGGAGTGGCTTCTGTCTGGCCACTCTACCATACAGGCCTGATTGGTGCAGTGCTGCAGAGATGGTTGTTCTTCTGGAAGGTTCTCCTCTCTCCACAGAGAAATGCTGGAGCTCTTTCAAAGTGACCACCGGGTGTTTGGTTACCTCCCTGGCAAAGGCCCTTCTTCCTCGATCGCTTATTTTTTGGCCAGGCGGCCCGCTCTAGGAAGATTCCTGGTGGTTCCAAACTTTTTTCCATTTACGGATGATGGAGGCCACTGTGCTCATTGGGACCTTCAATGCTGCAGAAAGTTTTCTGTACCCTTCCCCAGATCTGTGCCTTGATACAATCCTGTCTTGTAGGTCTACGTACCATTACTTGGAATTCATGGCTTGGTTTGTGCTCTGACATGCACTGTTGACTGTGGGACCTTATATAGACAGGTTTACGCCTTTCCTAATCAACTGAATTTCCCACAGGTGGACTCCAATCAAGTTGTGGAAACATCTCAAGGATGATCAGTGGGAACAGGATGCACCAGAGCTCAATTTTGAGTGTCATGGCAAAGGCCGTGAATACTTATGTATGTGGGGGTTTTTTTATTTTTAATAAATTGCAAAGATTTCAAAACAAACTTCTTTCATGTTGTCATTATGGGGTATTGTTTGAAGAATGTTGAGGAAAAAAAATGAATTTAATCCATTTTGGAATAAGACTGTAACATAACAAAATGTGGCAAAAGTTAAGCGCTGTGAATACTTTCTGGATGCACTGTATCTGCTGCATCCTGATTGTCATAGAGACTATATGCTCCTCAAAAACTAACTTCTTAATTAGTTTAATTTTTGGGGGGATAAACATTGTACATAAATAAATAAAGCTGACCATTGTAAGCACCCCTGACTGATAAATCTGCAGAAAGCTTATTCTGTTGCAAAACAGCAGACTTACTGGCTAGATAACCAGGTGAAACCAAAACAAAGAAAGCCAGAAAAAGATAGTAACACTGCCATCACATCTAAGAACTGGTAAGCTGCAATTAAATAAATATTTGCTTTTAGGTTTAATACCACTGTTTTTGTGGTGATTATTCCATTTTGAGTCCTCGTAAATTTATGCTAAATCAGTTCTAAAGAAGGGGTGATACCTTTGAAACCACAAAACATGTTGTCTGTTTTATACTATCTTGCTACCTGAAAACCAATATTATTAGTTTGTGGACTCTCAGTCAGTTGGTCTGGACATTTTTGTGGACTTTGTATATGTAGCTTTGACTACTTGAGATTCCCCCCTGCACCGTGTTGAGCCTTCAGAAAAGCCTCACCAGAGCCATTGCACTCAGGGGCGGACTGACAACTCATGGGGCCCCCGGGCAATAGGGGATCATGGGGCCCCTGTGTCCTTGCCCAAACTCAAAGAAGCCTATGAAAAAGGTACCAGGGGCATCTCATGGGGCCCCCTACTGACCCCGGGCCCTCGGGCAGTGCCCGGGTTCCAAATGGTCAGTCCGCCCCTGATTGCACTCCAAATCTTTGCACTGCGATCTTCTGCAGTCATAATTCATTGATAAATAAAATCCAGCACCTCAGTTACACATATTCCATGCTAGAAAAATTTGCATTGTCTTAGAAACTGCTATTTTCCTGCCTGTTTTGCTCCTACTCCAGCTTCATCACTAAGTGAGTCTCTGAACCCAGACAAACATGCAGACTGTAAATTTGGAATTCCCAATCTTTACAATTGTCCAGGTCATCAAGGTGTGCAACTCACTGAAGAAGGCCACATATGTATATATGTTTTTCCAGGTTTATGTGAAAAGTTCAGTCTTTCTGGGGGAGTATTTTCTTTTGACGGTACAAAAAAAAACCTGTTCACATGTGAGAACCCCTGTCAAAAAAAAGAAAAAAATTTATCCGTCTGACTGCTGTTATTTTTATTTACCATTAATTCCCTGCACATGCTTGGATTCTTCTTGCAAAATCAATATTTATTATTACTTCATTACTAGTGATTCAGCAGTCTTTATTTATTTTCTGTTTTTGCTAGCGAAAGGAAATTATTTGGTTTGTCTTTAATTATTATTATTGCTAATATTATTATTATATTATAGGATTTTATATAGCAACAGTTTGCACAACACTCTACAATACAAAGGGGGGCAGTATAATTAAAATACAGTTCAATACAGGAGGAATAGAAGGGCCGTGCTCATGGAGTGTTCAATCCAAAGTGGGGGAGGGGGGGGAGATGGTACAAAAGGTAATAGCTGCAGAGGATGATCTGATGGAGGTGACTCAAGTACAGTTCTTAGGTGGGGGTGAGCTTTCAAGGGTCGCCTGAAGGCAGAGTAAGAGCTAACCAGATATACTGGGGTAGAGAGTTCCAGAGGATGGGAGAGGTTCTGGAAAAGTCCTGGAGCTGAGCATGGGAGGAGGTAACAAGGGAGCTAAAGAGCAAGATGTCTTGGGAGGAACGGAGAGCATGATTTGGACGATATCTGCAGATAACGTTGGTGATATAGCTGGGGGCAATGTTGTAGATGGGTTTGTACATTGTGGTTAGTAGTTTAAATTTTATACATTGTGCTAGTGGAAGCCAGTGAAGATATTGGCAGAGAGGGGCAGCAGTCACAAACCAGTTAGTAAGGTGTATAACCCCGGGAGCAGCATTCACAATAGACTGAAGGGGAGACTGAATTGTATTGAATTGGGTGTGATCACCCTTTGCAATGAAGGTAGAGCATCAGTATGAAAGCAAGAGTGCCATAATTTAAAAGGGACCCTGATACCAGCTCAAGCTTTACTTTTACATTTTTTTAAAGTATCAATACATACATGTGTCTATTAAAAAAAAAAAAACTTTACAACCCCTGTAAAGGTAATAGCAATACAACAGTTCTGGATCTGTCTGACTGTCAAATCCCACTAGCTGCTGCCCCCTTCTGTGGCTAGGTCACTGCTCCTTAAAGAATCTCTGCAAAGTGATCCCTGCTGTCAGAATCAACCTGAAGCTTTTTTTTTTCAGGCAGCTGTGGCCACTACCTTGCACACTTGTAGCATGCTTGCAGACAGCACCACAAAGCCTCAGGAGTCTCATGTGTGCAGTAGTGGCTCTGGCAATCCATAAAATGTCAGGTTCCTTCTAACTCTGCAAGGATTGTAATTAAAAATGAATAATCAAATGAAAAAAAAATCAACACAAAGTTTTTTTTGCTTTATTAAACATTTAAATGAAATAGTAAATTAGTAAAAAACTGAGTAAAGAACAAACATTAAATTTAAAGAAAACTAAATTTAAAGATCTGCCATCAGCTTAAAAGCAAGTATAGTAAATTCCCCAGTGGGTCCTGTGCACATAGCACTTGTTGCCATCCAAATCCATGCAGGGATTGCTGAGCTATGGTGTCAGATAACTAGCCTTGCTCACCCACCTAGCTATTTGACAACACAGATCACAGGAGATGAGTTCTGAGTGACATCTTAGGAGAAGAGGTGTGGCAGAAATTGAACACTCCTCCTAAGCTGCCAGACAGAACATTTCTGTGCAGTGCTTTCTCTTCATCTCTTCTCTTAGTACTACAGTCCGCAGATGCAGTGTTTTGAATGACTGTAGCTGGAAAAAAGGGCTTTGGTACACAAAAACACAAGATGACCACAACACAAGCTAGCTACTACATTAGACTGTCGCAAACAAGTGTAGTAACCACTGTGTGCTATTGTCAGCTTGTGTTTTTGTGAATGAAAGCAAGCAGGGGCTGCAGCTTTGGACTGTCAGGGAAACTCAAAAGTAGCATTTAAGAATTCTGATGTGCATCTACATTACTAATATTGGCGTGGGCAAAAGATCCATGTACCTGTTGTAGACAAGGTTGTAGACAGGTACATAAATCTGGGGTACGTACTGTCCATATGGACACTCCAGCCTCAGTGCAACTGTGTTTAGAAACATTATACCTAATAAATATGAGGATTTCCTGCTGCCTTATAGCAGATATACTGGTACAGGTCAGCAGCGGTGCTCAAAATCACGTATATATACACGTCATTTTGCATTTCCAGGTAGGGGACACGCACGAGCTGCGTGCATTCTACCCACGCCGCTTATCGCGGCCTCGGCTATCAATTGCCGGGTCCTGGCCAGTGATTACTCGTAAACAATACAGTTCTCTCCCCTGTCAGCTCCTGCACACTGCTTTGCATGGCTTACAGTTGAAAGCACTAACACAGGCCAGTGTAAAACAGCACACAGTTAACACTTTGATTGCCCCCCACACTGCCCAGTGCCACAGTGATCACGGTATTTTTGTCACTGGGGATGTTAGAGACACCAAGTCAGTTCCCCCCAGTGTCAGAATGCCTGCTGCAGTCTCTATATGTCGCTGATCGCCATCATTACTAGTAAAAATGTAAAAACAAAATCCCAGTATATATACCGCCATTTGTAAATGCTATAACTTTCACGTAAACCAATTAATTTACACGTATTGGGATTTTTTTAGCAAAGATGTAGCAGAATACATTTTGGCCAAAAGTTATGATGAAATTTGATTTTTTAAATTTTTTTACTAGACATGTTCAATAGCAAAAAGTCAAAAATAGTGTTTTTTTTTTCTCAAAATTGTCAGTCTTTTTTTTATAGCTCTACTCGTGGGAAAAAAGGACATACATTTTATTGTGTTTCATGACCGTGCAATTGTCAGCTAAATTAACGCAGTGCCATAAACGCAAAAAATGGTCTGGTCAGGAAGGGGGATACATCCTCTGGAGGGCAATTGGTTAATGAGTCTGCTAGCATTCAATAAATATTACTTTTATGTTGACTGAGCCTGAGTGATTTTGCATGGGTGTTGGATAGGTGCTATCAATTAATAATCATGTGCATATATCCAAATAATGATAAACATAAAAAAAATATATTTTATTCAATAAAATAAGCCTGTAAACAATTGCAGAGGATTTCAACAAAATTGTCCTTTAATAACAATAGTATATACACCCATTAGAAATATAGGCTCTGTAGTGTGGCGCAATCCATTTAGACAATGTTTTGCTAAATAGCAGTAATACTGTATTTGAAAAAAATTGTAATTACAAGATGTGACTCTTCTGGTCCACACATAACCATTCAAAGCTTATTACCTGTAACATCTAGGAGAGCATGCTGGGAAAAGATGGTGTAGCATATTACAGCCACATTAGATTTTTACTTTAAAATAATCATTAATTTCACATTTAATTAGAGCTAATTATACTTAGAAATTTACTTAATTGCATGCCATTAGGATGATTGTCATCTTAACAAGTAAATTATGCAACTAAACCGCCTAAACTGCCATTAATATTGGAGCAACTTATTAATATCTGCTCCTGTGAGAAGAATGGATGACTGTAAAGATAACAAGGCATGTGAACAGGGCACAGAATAATTGAAGTTTCTGCACCTGGCTTAGGATGCTTTTCAGAGGTATCTTTATGCAAGAGGCAACCAAAAACTTAGTTGAAGATGGTCCTAGTCACAAATAGAGCTGATATTATTTAACTGCAACCTGAGTAGTTGAAATGATTTCCCTGAGGCAGATTTCTGTTGCCTCCTAACAGGCCTTCTGCCTACACTGTCTTCTTTTATTTGCCACAATAACGAAAGATTTGCTTACAAACTGGTGAAATGGCTGGCAAAACTTCTAATGCAATGGCATCCAAAATAGACTCTGTTGGGATTGAGATCTTGGCCCTGTTGCATTTTAGAGTCGAATAACGTGATTCTGCTGTCAGTATTTTCAGTGCCCAGTAAGCTAAGTACTAACTTTTAGGAGTTAATTTGGGGCTGAGGGTTAGGATAATGTTACCATTAAAGTGTTTCTAATGCCTAAACATTATGTACCTTAATGCATTAATTGGATTAAGGCACAAAAAGTTTAGGCGTCGGTATTTGCCCCCTCAACCCCCCCCCACCCTTATACTTACCTCAGCCTTCATTTGATCACATCTGCAGTTCTTCTCTCCCCTCACTTCTAGGTCTCAAAAGCTTTGCTGAGGCAGAGGCTCTCTGGCTCCCACTGCTATCAATCAAAGCCAGTGACGAGGAAGCAAGGTTCAGGGCTGATTCTTGCTGTCTGTGTCCATGGAGGCAGCAGCAGGGCTCAGGAGCGAGCCTGCACAAGTGCTCCCATCGAAAGAGAATTCCCACTGGGGGCACTTGATGGAAGGGGAGGAGCCAGGAGCGACAGGGGGGACCTGAGAAGGGAAGGTTCGGGGCTGCTCTGTGCAATTTCACAGAGCAGGTAAGTCTAGACATGTTTGGGTTTTTTTTTATTTTTCCTTTACAACCACTTTAAGGCTCCATGTACACTGCAGCTGATACACTCACGTTTAGGAGCTTTTCTGCGTTTTTTTTCAGCAGGCCCTGAATCCTCCCTAATGTTTTCCTATGTGTCCATGTACACTATGTTATTTACAGTCGTTTACAAACAGTTGAGTTTACAGAAATGTTTTTGAATGCACCAAACTTGCGTTCAGGAGTAGATTTTATCAGCTTTTCAAATACCAAATGCTTGTAAACATGTGTAAAAGCGTGTAAACGCGGCTAACCGCATTTATAAGCATTTGCGTTTGGAAATTTTTTCTAACTCCATTTCCAGATGCT